GGGATCTAGGAGGTGCTGGGCTCTTGCAGTTCATCTTGGCAGGGAGCCCTGGTCACAGTGTCTGGGAGGCAAGTTGCTCCTTTCTCTGCTTGCAGTGGTCATTCCTCTGGCCCTCAGCTGTGGAGAAGGGATGCAAAGGAAGGAGGTAGAAGCAATACCCCAAAAAGTAGGAGCAGAGGAGGTAGGATTTTGCAGGAACCAAGACGTATGAGTAAAAGCTGAGGACTAATTTTTTAAGAACAGGAGCAGAGGCAAATGGGTACTTGAGGACAAAAGTTAGACTGCTGTTCTCCAGACCTGCAAACTGAATCTAGGTCTCGGACCTTTTCGTGCTCTACGGGCAACTTCAGGGGCTCTTGCTGTGTTTGTAAAGTGTTACCTCCCTCTAGTGGAATGTATGTAAGGACACAATACCCTGCTAGCTCCAGTGGTGAGGGTAGATCAGACCTAGACCATAGATACCAAACATGGTGTCCTTGACTGTTATCCAGCCATTCATACTGTGTTATGTAGACACAGATGCACATGGTATTCCTGTGAGATACTGGCCAACTTGTGTAAGCAATTCTGTTGGCAGGTTGACACTTAGTGTCCTTCCCTTTCTGGGTATTTAACTGGATCCACATGGGATCAGGCTTGAAGACAGACTCAGCACAGGAGAGGTTTCTGTAAATAGCCACAATGCCACAGATAAATTACCGTTATTCAGAAACACTACGATCATTGACTCAAAATGAATGGACAAATCTGGTAACTTTGCCTCTAATGTCTCTGCACTTTCATTTAATGAACAAGAGTGAAGAAAGGTAGACTTGGTGTTGGTGGAAGAGGCTACTGCTCTGGTTAGAACAGCCTGGGTGCAACACAGGCTTTTTTAACTCTTAGTTGGAGCCGAGACTGGATGGCATGTGCTCAGGGGTCTGGAGCCTCACTCTCCGTGTTGCCTTTGAGATTTCATTCAACTGACTGGTTGCTAATGAGGTAAGTGTCTGATGGGGGAGAAAATGGTATGTAACTGCATGATAAGGATTGTATCATACTGGGAGCAGCATCTTAAATGTGTTCACTGATTATCAACTTTGCAAACTACTATCCACCGTTACATGAACCTCTTTACCTGGACCAACAGAAATGAGAGAGAATTTTTTTGCATGTCTAACATTAGATCATCATGGCTCCTATGGCATTACTGCTGTTAGTATTTTAGGATTGGAGAAAACATATGTAATTGGGTTGTACCCCTGAGGATTCTTATTCCTACTGCAAGTGTTCCCAACCCTGGCACTTCTGAGTCTTTTCTGGCTGTCTTTAACTTCCTTTCCTAATCTTCCACTTCTCATACCAATCAAGAGACACTAGCTGCCTTTTTGTGTTGCAAACAGCTTTATTTTAGCTGTTGTATTTTGACTCTCCACTTAACTATGATTAGCTTTAAGTCAAAAAGAGCTTTCTTTTGATTCTCTATTAATAATTTTTTATTACTATTATTTCTATTCTCATTTTTATCTACTTTTGTCCTGAGCCGTAAGTCCCACAAAACAACTGAATGTGTTGAAATGAGGAATGCATGGATTTTTCCTTTGTGTGTCATACAAATGACTGTTTGGTAGTATTCTTTTATCTGTACTAAATGCAATTCGTTCAGAATCCCACCATGTTACATATGCAACCAACGTCTTCTAGCCCTGGTAATTTACAGTGCTTTTATTTGTCATCGTGAGACTTAAACCATTGTCTCACATTGGGGCACTGCCATTCATATCTGCAGATGAACTTGTATTAGATGTCCAGCAGATGTCTCTTTAAAAATAAGTGTTTTCGTATATTAAATGGATACTTCTAGAAGAACTGGTCCTATTTTCTAGTTTGGTTTTGATCACTTACACTGGACATCTTCCGGGACTTTTAAAGAAATCCGTGATTCATACAGTCTGAAACTTTTTCATACATCTGAATTGTATGGTCATATTTCCCTTCTTTTCTTTCATCTTTCTCTCACTGTCATAGAATCATAGAATTGTTTAGGTTCTTTCCAGTTGCTCCAAATTCACTATACAAGTGATGGCTTTAACTTTTCGTGCTGCACTTAACTTCTCCTTTCTCTTCCAAACTTAAAATGTAAAGTAAAAACCAAACAAACCTATTTCATTATTTCCCAGCACTGCAAATGAGATGATGCATAGTGAATGGGGCAGTGAGCATGAGGGTTAGTAGAGTGATTTGGGACTTAGGTTTATAGTGGGAAGTTTATCCATAGGGCAACTACAAACAGCCCTTTTAAATTTTAAAGCCTCAGATAAATGTTTAATTAGTAAATACTTGTAACAATGTCAGATCTGCTCTTGGTGTGCTGAAGGTGCTATCCTCAGGGTCAACAGACTAGAGTGTGCATGTGCTTTTCAGCTGTCCCTGCAAAATCCAGCCCTCTGGCTTAAGCTGCTGCGGGAGGTAATTTCAGAGGCTGTCAGACCTTTTCCTTGGTCTCACTCAGGGATGCTTACCTGTTTCTGTTCCGTTCACTGTTGGGGCTGTGATCACTCCTGCCAGAGGCTAAGTAGCAAACAGTTGGAGAGGTTGTAATGTCTTAAACTGGTACAGCTATTTACTATTTAATGCATGACTGTGCCCCAAGGTCTTTTGCCAGCAGCCTGCAAAGAATTCATGCAACCTGAATAACCACAGGGCTGCCTTCCAATGCAAGGTTGAATTTAAGCTGCATTAAATAGCATGGAAGTAAACTTTGATCTTTTTGGACTTTTATATACTCAAGCAGAAATAATCTTGGGTCCTGCTTACATTGTTAGTGCAAACTGGAGAGGGTACTTAAAAGGAGTGTGTCCATCCTACCCTGCCTCAACTGTTTCAATTGATGAGGGTTGCGGGTGCCAACACCTGTCACCTTTTCTGGGGGCTGCTCCCTATCAGCATGCTTCCTGTGGTTTCTCCCCCCCATCCCTCCATCATCTATTTATGCCGCCTTGTCTCCCTGTCACTGGAGCAGAATGTGGCAGTGCTTTGGTTTTCTTGCACAGCCTCATGGCACTAACAAGACCCTTAAAATACCACCCTTCAGCTATGCACAGCACCTTTCAGGCTTGCCCCAGCCTAATCTGGATTTAGCTGCTTAATTGTAGTAGGATCAATCACACTTATCTTACCAATAAAGCCAGGCAAACAGAAGACATGACTGTTTCTTCCTTCCCTGTTGTTACAACTGTTGGAGTTGTCAGGCTCCTGACCTAGGCATGTGTTTTTCATACTTAACATAAAACTCTTGAGATCACGCAGGCACAGTAGTTCAAATTGGAAAAAAAGGTTTGATTCTTATTTTTGGCTGAATGAACAAACATACAATTAACTCTTTTGGGTGTCCCCCTCCATTTGTGTTGTGAATCAGAGTTCAAATCTGCTGTCAAGTGATGAAGATATGCATGATTTTTTACAGAAGATGTAACTTAATCGAATGCAAATATGTCAGACACAACTATAGTCCCTTGTTTCTGAAGAATTCCTAATTTATTTTTTTTATGGCTTTTGTTGATGTAGAGGAGCTTCGTATACCAAAGCTTCAGTGAATTACTAATACCGTTGCCCTTGATGGTGTGAATCTTGAAGATGTAGGAGAAAGTTGATTTGAAGAAGTTAAGAGTGAAGAGGAATAGAAGCAAGGATTTCTCCCGCATGACTGGTACCAATGAGAGTAAAGCTAACCTTTCAGGTGCACTCAGCTTCAGTGAAGTGTGATCACAAAAAGGCGTTATATACCTCCTAGGGGAATTCTCCCTCACTGTTGCCTTTCAACATCATTTCAGGTTGCCAGAATGCCACCCTGACAGGAAAGAGTTCGGAATGTGTATCTGACAAAATATTTAGTGGGCTGACCAGCACTTCTGAGCACAAACAGATACACAATTGGCGTTTACGCAGGTCTGTGGATACATATTTTGATAAGTTTACAGTATTAGCGGTAACTCCAGGCACCCTATCTTAACAGTATTTATAATAAGCTGCTTAGATAAAATGTTCAGGAGACTTACTGTCTATTTGGGGAGTTTCTGGTTCTTAGTGTGATATGTGATTTAGTGTAGAGTTAGGATAGTAAGCTACTAAGTGTACCATGTTATGGATTAATCTTTATCCTTTCCAGTTCTGGTGGCTTTTACTGAATATCGTTACAGTCTGCGGAAGGCTTTTCTCTCCGCTTCCCCCTGTTGTTTAAATTGCTAATGAGTCTATAGCATTAGGTTAGAAACCCCCTTATTGCCAGATTGTGTTACAGTAACTAGTATTGTTATGATTCATCTTAGCAAATGCCCACGCTTCCTTTCTGACTAAAATGCATGCTGAAGGAGTGAACCTGTTAATTGGGCAAAAGATGTGCTTCATGTATTTTTATTCATTGGGTCTAACAGCCTGCATGGCTGCGCTATCGTGTTCCTGCACGCTTTCCTTCAGAGGTGGGGAATGGGGAACTTAATCATCCTACTTCTGTCTTTCTTCTTCACACCCAAATAAATGTTGAACAGTTGGAATTTTAGCTGGAACTTCTGATATAGGTAGTTGTTTGGCACTTTAGTACTAAACTTTCATTAGATTAACTCGAGCTAATTTGTCTTCCTTGCTAGTGTTTGGATTCTTCTTTTATCCAGTAGAAGGGTAATTTTGGTGTTCCCTGTGGCAGTTGCTATTGGAGCTGTTAAATTATTTCACAGTTGTTGGAACTTCTGCAGATCACTGGAATCGCCACGTTTTGTTGGGGTACAAGAAGACAGCTGCTGCTGAGGATAGAGGTCTTGCTGCTTCATCCTGCCTCTCAAAGCCACCCTCCTGTTTGGACACTTTCAGGTCCCTGCTTTCATTCAGGAGGTGCTGGAGGTGATGCAGCACCAGTGAGCTGATTAATGATAGTGTACTTATGGGAGAGTGTACTTATGATAGTGTACTTATGGGAGAGGACAGACTCGCAGTGCCCATGCGTTGGCTTGGATGGAGCAGGGGCAATGGAGGAGCCGTGTGTCTGGCGCACTGAGGCCACTGTGAGGATGGGACTTGGTGTGGGGGAGAGGCTGAAACCAGGGTGTTTCGTGTGTGCGGTGAGGTGCTGCGTTACCATTTTGAAGTGCCTTTTATGATAAGAAAATACAAAAAATGGCCAGCAGAATATTTTTTTGCAAAATTGTAAATGCAATAAATAGCGATACCTGTGGTTGATGAATTCTCATTGGGATTCTAGAGCTCAGGGGTCCTTCAAAATGTGTGGACTGCTGTTCTGACTCGGGGAACAGTGTGTCTGATGTGCTGGTGATGAAAAGGGAGAAGAGTATGGGCAGAGGAGGTTTAAAAAAAATCTTAAAATACTCTATACCTTCGACTTCATGCTTCACTGCAGGCACTGGAAACTTGAGTTTTTCTCATGGGGCATGTATGTCATCTTTGTAAGCCAACTTTAAGCAAGGGAGATCTTCCATAACCTAAAAAAACAAGCACTCCAGTCAAGAATGTTTTCAAAGCAGTTTTGTGGCTTGCTACAGCTTTTTATCTACTTCCTTTTCTCTGACTTATTCTTCATCTTCTTGCCCAGTACTGTGAGAATAGCATGACTTGTGCTGTTTGGCATCG